TGTGTGTGTGTGTGTGTGTGTACATATAAGACTCAGATCAAACAGCGTCAAAATTGCAGCTTGTGGACACACAATACAGTTCAAGCAACAATGTACAAACCGTTAAAATGGTGCTAATAAAGTGTCACGCCGGCTGGTGGCTTTTATTTAGTAGTTCTCCTGTTTCTTGTCAGGATCGAGCACATTTTGCCTGACGGGCGAATTAGTAGTTTTAGAGCTTAGGTGACATAACTGGAAATAACACCCAGCTGGGTTTAAATAGATTTATTTTTTAAAAACAATATACAGAAATATATATATATAGAAATATATTTATATATAGACCTATAGAATCAATTATAAATGCTTCCTGAACAGGCTATTTAACAAATAAAAGTCAGATGCAATTATTTATAGGGATATATTTCTTACTGCTTTTCCATTCATTTCCTATGGTCTTGGAAGAGTGAAATATATGTGAAATATACAAACTAGACCTCTCAGTTTAGCTTGTATTCCAACCCCAGTGACGTAATACCTCTCTTCTTTATTTCTCGGCGATCTCTTTCTCTGCATATTAAGTTGTCGCGAGTCTTACTGCAGTGGATCTGTCCGAATGTGTGTCCCTCTGTCGTGGGTGTTGGATATTTTTCATTTGAGCGGAGAAAAAGGAGTTTTGATTTTCAAGCCTTCTGTAATCTCGAGGATTAGCCATACATGCACCCGGGAGCCATAGGGATTTTTGACTAACTTCAATATCCATACGAGTTTCGACCTCATTCTTGTCTGTGCTGTGTTATGTGATAAAGGCAGCTGTTCAGTCAAGTGTGTACTGCTGTAATTCTCCACAAACTTCCTTTGAACAATAAATAGAATTTCTTCGCTGAGAACCTGAGTTTGTTTTACTCTTTCACAATTCTTGACAGCTCCTTCTTGCAAAAAAAATGATCTCTATGAAGAATTTCAGTCAGGTTTCAGGCCCCACCATAGCACAGAAACTGCACTTGTTAAAATTACAAATGACTTGCTTCTTGCGTCAGACCAAGGCTGTGTCTCATTGCTAGTTTTACTTGATCTTAGTGCTGCATTCGATACTATAGATCATGACATACTCATAGATCGATTACAAAACTATACAGGTATTCAAGGGCAGGCTTTAAGATGGTTTAGATCCTACCTGTCCGATCGCTACCACCTTGTTCATTTAAATGGGGAGTCATCTCAATTATCACCAGTAAAACATGGAGTGCCACAAGGATCTGTCCTAGGTCCTCTGCTATTTTCGATATACATGTTGCCACTTGGTAATATTATTAGGAAATACGGGATTAGTTTCCACTGTTATGCCGATGATACTCAACTATATATCTCAACAAGACCAGATGAAACTTCTAAATTATCTAAGCTAACGGAGTGTGTTAAAAATGTAAAAGAATGGATGACCAATAATTTTCTCCTATTAAATTCGGATAAGACCGAGATATTACTTATTGGACCAAAAAGCAGTACACAGAATCTCTTGGATTACAATTGATCACTAGACAGATGCACGGTTACTTCCTCTACAGTCAAAAATCTGGGTGTTATATTAGATAGCAACTTGTCTTTTGAAAATCATATTTCCCATGTTACAAAAACGGCATTCTTCCATCTTAGAAACATTGCCAAGTTACGAAACATGATACCTGTTTCTGATGCAGAAAAGCTAGTTCATGCATTCATGACCTCTAGACTGGACTACTGTAATGCACTGCTAGGTGGTTGTCCTGCATCTTCAATAAACAAGCTACAGATAGTCCAAAATGCAGCGGCTAGAGTCCTTACCAGGTCAAGAAAATATGATGAGATATTACTTATTGGACCAAAAAGCAGTACACAGAATCTCTTGGATTACAATTTATCAATATACATAATAAATATACACAGTATACACGCACATATTATGTAAACAAAAACTTATTTTGGATGCAATTAATCGTTTGACAGCAATAATAAAAAGTAAGACTCGTCACAGAACTTATATTTTTGCCTTTTTTTATTTCATTTCAAGTTTAGTTTTAACGTTAATCATTTTGTTTTGTGTTTTTCTCATCATTCCTTTTTTAATATGTCTATATAGCTTAATTTTATTTCTGTTTTAGCTTTTCAGTTAGTTTTTTAGAATGTGAATGAAAATGTGAAATGCTGCTAAGGCAGCATTTCACATTTTCATTCACATTCTAAAAAACAATACAATATATATATATATATACTGTATTGTTTTTATATTTTATTTCAGTTAAGGTTTATTTGATTTCAAGTAACAAAAAATAGTTTTTTGGTTTTATTTATCTATAATAACCTTGCTTGCATATGGCTGAACTACAGTAGTCTTGCTATTTCGCATTATAATTTCTAGTGATGAATGCATTGAGGAGAAGGTGCCCTAGAAAGTCCAAATGAAATGCATCTGAACTGATGCATACTGAGGGCACTGCTCCTTCACAGAGCCTCTTATCTGTGAAAACTCTCGGTTTGTTCCACTTCACAGATCCAGTTTGGCCTCAAGGACGTCGCAAGCAATTTCTGCAGAGGTTTTTGCTTAGGATGGTGCAGCTGATGACAACACTGACACTGCCTCTTATTACTGTAGCTGGCTATAAGCACTAATACTGTTTCTTGTACAGTACATCAGGATTTGAGCAATTAAACATCCTGCACTGGACATGAATAATACTTCAAATCATGTGGTTGTTGAGGAGAGTTAGCTGATGGCAACCTTAACCATTACTTAAAGGGACAGTTCACCCAAAAATGACTTCCACTGTATTTTCTGCTCACGGAAGTCAGTAGTTACTGAAACAGACTGCAAGTGGATTTCAAGGCCTGTTGGAATCAAATTAAATCTTGCGACACTGTCAGATTGTGCAAGATGAGGAATAATATGTACTTTGGAATTCAGTTGACAAGCGGTTATTTTGGCTTCGAAGAAGAATGCATTCTTGTCTGCGACTGAAAAAGTATGTATGTATTTTAACCGTACATAAATTACATAAACAGCCCAGTCCTGTGCTCTGAACTGCACCATTATCAAAATAAATTAAGAATAACCTACAATGCTTCACAAAGGTCATCAGGAAAGAAGAATATTTTTAACATCTGATGCTGTATCTAATAATGAGAAACAACAGTCCTGATCAAACACACCTTTGGATTTGGAGAAATGTAGCATTCCATCCGTTGCTTATCAATGGATCCTCTGCAGTGAATGGGTGCCGTCAGAATGAAGGTGTATTTCTTATGAACACACAGCTTTTGTCTTCTCCAGATGTTCACTGATGGACTGGAGTGCTGTGGATTATTGTGATGTTTTTATCAGCTGTTTGGACTCTCGTTCTGACGGCACCCATTCAACTCCATTGGTGAGCAAGTGATGCTACATTTTTTGCTAAAATCTGTTCTGATGAAGAACAAGCTCATTTACATTTTGGACAACCTCATGGTGAGTAAATTTTAAGCACGTTTTCTTTTTTGGGTGAACTATTCCTCTGTTTATTGCATTATTTTAGTGTCATAATGGTGTGTTTTGTGTGTTACATCAGGTACCTTCTACTGTATATATTAATAGGCTAGTATTTAGCGCTTTTGGAAAAGTATCTGCTAATGATGGTTGTTATATTATAAACGTATAAAACAGATTTTAGCACTTTGTTAAGTTGGAATATTATATCAGTTAATAAAACTTTTTTAAAGTATGTTATACTTTATTTTAAGGTGTCCTTGTACATTTAAATACTGAGTAATATTAATTAACTATATGGTTAGGGTTTGGCTTAGGGTTACTTGCATTTAATTATGCATAATTTATTGTTATTATAATAGTAAGTACATGTAAGGTGTAACAAGGACACCTTAAAATAAAGTGTTACTGTCATTTTAAGTCCAATCCATAAAACCTTAATTGTTGCTACTATCATTTTTACAATAAAGTTCTTGCAAACA